ATTAACTTATACTTACGGATATTGTTAACAACCGTGTTCCAAAATGCTTTAAAATCTCCATCAAGGTTAACAAATCTCATTGAATTTACTAAATGATAAAAAGACACGATTGCATCCCGCGGATCTCTTGCCACATATACTACCTTGGCTTCAAGAGCCTTTCGTGGCATCAAGGAGAGTGGCAGATGGGTCTTTATAAACCGTGGAGATGGTGTGGTTTCCAATATCTCTGTCCCCGGTTTAAAAAGAAGTTCAAATTCTTTGAGCTTCGCCTTGTCGTCCTTGTTGACGTCGTGTAATTTCTTTTTCATTTCGTCATCAAAATTTGAAAAGAATCTGTAACATTTTTTATATGTTTTCACTATCGTAAAACATATATAAGTCATTGTAGTAAAGTTATTGAGGACAAGATTACTCGAGAATTATCCCGTTTGTCAATAAGAAACGTAAAAAAACAAAACAAAATAAACAGACACATTTAAATGATTAAAGCACACACACACATCAAATAAAATAACCAATTTCTTAATGACACTGGATAGCGTTTAATATACAGGCTAGGCCTAGTTTAAACGCTAGTGCTCATAGAAGTAGGTATATTATGTATAAGGTTAACCACAATGAATATTGTATCTCAACGATTCGTAGCCTAGTGTATGATTACAATCTTTTAAATGTAAGGACAAAATGTAATGTTTTTGAGTCAAATAAAGTCATTTTGATTATAGTCCCATACACCATCCCCAAGCAGGCGCTACATTGGAACCCTCAAAAAAAGCAGGAACGTGGCTGTCTCAACCAAACTAGAGGTTGTTAAGTTGTAGATTAGGCAAAAAGCAGGAAGGATATGGAGCGAGGTGAAATGTGAAGCTCAAGAACGAACGCGAAGGAGACTGGTTGTGGACACCGTCTGTTCCTTATAGGAGTCATAGGACTATATATTACATATATTACATATTATATATATATATATATATATATAACATATTTGCCCCCTTTTTATAAAAATAAATATTTCTCATTAATTCAATAAATATTGGCAAATTATGTTTACTCTGAGTGATTTAATTCAGTCATTAATTAAACTAATATTATATAATCTACAGCGATAGTGCTACAAACACAATAGACTTGTATAAAAATATATATAATTATATGTATAAAAAAATATTTTCGACTATTAGAAACGCAATGCCAGGAAACTGATTAATACTATTTATTACTACGTTTTTATAAGAAATTTTCGTATGAGTGACATAAATACATACTCAAGAAAAGCATATCTCTCTGTTAGTGGTATATTCAATGCTCTTTCGTAGTCTAAATCAGACACTATCAGCCAAACCATATCCTGAGTCCACGTAGTTCCTGAATAAAAATTACTTATAAATAAATAAAAACTTTATTCATGACAAATATGTTGTGACAAAATCTCCCTAGTAGACAGTAAACTAGATAACAATTATTACGTAGTACATGTTTAAAACAGTTTTTTGAGAAAAGTATTTTTAGTGTTCTTATAAGACATTAAGTATGTGTGAATGTGTGAGTGTGTAAGTGAAGCTGAGAGTTGTTATAAGCGCGCGCTGTGTTAGTAGTAGAACAAAGTAAGACGGGCGAAGTGGGGCAAATTTCGCGCAAAAACCTTCTACTTTAGCGCTTCTAACATCTGGCCTGCCTCTTTTGATTTACTTAATTTTTTATAACAGGATTTGGAGATTCAACTATTGGCACTAAGTATTCCTTATATAAAAAATGCGTCTTTCAGATCTTGACATTCAGCCCTGCGATTCTGTAACTCACTTTTCGAACTCACACAGCGGTTTTCGCATCGGCGGTCGCTCTCAAATCAGTCGTGAAGCAGTCATTTTATGATTTGGCATTCTGAAAACGTGGGAGCTTGAAGTTTATGACCGCCGATGCGAAAGCGAAAACCGCTGTGTGAGTTCGAAAAGTGAGTTACAGAATAGCAAGGCTGGACAAAAATAAAATCGGGATGACAGTTATATTCATATCAATCTCCAGATAACATTGAACCATACTTTGATATAAGCTGCTAACTACCTATGTGTTAAAATTAAATTATATTTTATATTCTTCCATTTGTCTTCTTTTTCATTTATCAAAATTGGCATAATCCAGTATTAATAGTAAATAAATTCAAGTAATATAATTTAGTCATATATTTTATTTATCGAATAGCCTTGAATTTAAATTTTATATTGACGATAAGGATAAACCAAATTTCTTACCAGATCTTGGGAAACTGGTGACAAAAACGTCACTTGACCTGACTTCCATATTGTATATATTTGTGGCTGCATGTTTAAATTTTTCGGGTAACACATAGCCCTTAGGTCCTATGCGTAAAAAAGCTGTAAAATATAATTAAACTCAGGTTCAGTAATTGATGAAATTATGCTTTTCAAAATTCGTAAGAGATTTTAAAGTGATCAAATTAAAATAATTTTTATTTCCAACTCAAACTCAAAATAACTTTGTTCATATATGTAACCAATACACTTATGAACGTCAAAAAAGAAGTGAAATTAATTCTAAATTAATATTTACTACCAGTTTGCAAGTCAAGGGCGTAGAGCGGGCAAGAAGAACTGGCAAGAAACTGTCCGCCACTCTTTTTGATCGCTAAGTTTTGTGTCATACAAATTGTTGGAACTGGAGCAAATAAATCCCAAGGATTAGGATCATTTAAGTATTCGTCAAATTTATAAAAAGCTTCATTGATTAATTTACGTTTAACGAGAGCTTTGAATTTATTTAGTGATAATTTCGCATGGAAGTTTGTTGTAGAAACGAATACAATTTCCATATAAGGAGTGGTTTACAAAAATGAATTTACGAATCTCAACTTGCTACGGTCCCTCTGTCTCACTTTCATGACATTCACCACACATGCTGGTCGGTTATGGGTTATTTTAACTTGTCCCTTCTCTAGTACCACCTGGATTTGGTCTAGATATATACGACAAGGCCTACCCAACCAGATTTCACTACTATTCATAAAAGTGAATAAAACACATCAAAAAAGGTCCTAAATTCACTGGTAAGAAACGTTTCGCCACTCTTTTAGGAAGTGCCATCATTACTCCATAATTAATTTTAATAAAAAATAACACACGCTTAGCACTCGCAGGAAAAATAGGAGCACGCACTTTCAATATACTTAGAACATAACCAACAAGTAGGGTGTGACCAAATTCGTCTTGAATACTAAATTATAATGCCCGGATAACAGTCGCATTATAAATATGTATTAAATCACCAAAAAAAACAAAATCAGTTATTCATATAGGTAACCTCAATTTTATTTGGTAAAATCAATTTTGTAAACGTTTTTGACATTCATAAGCATGCCCCAAGACGCAGCTAAACTGAATAAACGTATTTTGATTGATTGATTGATTGTAACACAATGTACACTTATGAACGTCAAAAACGAAATATATATTAAATGCGTCTAATTTTGCATTTACTGCCACTTCTTAAATCAACGGCGTAGAACGGAAGAGAAGAACTGGCAATATTAATGAAAATACTAACCTGGAAACTTAATTAATCCTTCTTTTCCTTCTAATTCCACAACTTTAATTTCAAATGGATAGTTTTCGCTGGCCATTTTGCTAAAATTTTTCAACGACCTATCTAATCCGCTGATAAATTAATATGCCTAAAATGTTTTCATTACATAAAATATTACACTTATATGTGATTATCTATTTATCTTTTTTCAAGTGTTATCAGTGATTATGTTAAGGTAGTAAGTATAGAATTTAGCTTGGATTTGGGCACAATGGGGCATTTCCCCATTTCGAATTCTATATTTCGAACATTTCTTATTGATGGTCTGCTCCTTTTAGTATTAGCGTGATGTTATAGCAAATAATGTGACAAATGAACAAACACCAATTTTTTTGAAACACCATTCCTGAGATTTGCTTGTTCAACCCGACAAACCAACTCTTCATCTTTATATTGATATAGATTTCAGTTGTTGCAGTTTTCGTAAACAAGCGATAATTTATAACGCAATCTTTATTGTATCACATGATAGCAAATATACCTACATAGCAATACCTAGTACCTATAGCAAATATACCAAGTATACGTATATACTTGTTATAAGTAAAGCGCGTCGTTATTACGCAATAATACTACATCTACTCCTAACTTCGTATAATTGATCCCAGGTCAACATGGAAGCTCCTCAAATGTAGGCAAATACCCCAAAAACAGACGGACTCTTTATTTTGCCGCACAATATGTATAGAAAATAATTTTAGCCAAATCTAGTCATCTTTTCTATACATAATAATTAACTATATTCATTGGATTGCCTTACATTACAGAAATAGTTAAATCATATGTGTATTAGTTAACACATACTATATGGTATAACAATCCTTTTTTGATAAATAACAGTTTTAAGGTTTACTTTACTTGAAGTTACAAGTCCCAATTGGAACATAATTCATTGTAAACAGGGTATTTTTATATAATAGGCAAACGGGCAGGAGGCTCACATGATGTAAACTGATTTCGCCGCCCATGGACACTGACTAGAAGGCTCGCAAGTGCATCGCCGGCATTTTAAGAATTGGTACGCTCTTTTCTTGAAGAACTCTAAGTCGATTGGTTTGTGTAGTTTAAATAATACCTACACAAATAGTTGCGTTTTGCACTGAAAAATGTATACTTAACGGAGTAAATAGGAGTTAAGTTAACCAAGTAATTAAAAAGGTAAAACTTGCTGAGTTTCTTGCCCGTTCTTCTAAAATGAAGCATTATAAATCCCATCGCAGTGATTGTAGCCGTAGATTATAATCGCTAATACATTTAATAAACTAAAATATTAGCTTAAATCATAGGGATTATTAAATAACACGATTTCATGTAATTAAAATAAATAAGCATTTATTAATATTATTTCAGATTATTTAACATTATAAGATTGTAACTTAATAAGATTATTTCTTTTCTATTTACTGCATGCTTGGAAAGCGTAAATCTGTATCGCGTAGATTTTCTTCTATCCATTTATCTGCTTCAGCTGTCATCTCTTCGTCAAAGTACTCACGCCAACCGCCTGTCTTACCTGCGAGGATAAATCGAAGCTAATACATTTTAAAAAACGTCCTCAAATTACTGTCAATTTCAATAATTAAGTACTAATCCATTAAAATTGTAAAACAAATATATCAACAAACTTAGGACGGACTTTAAAATCAATTATTTAATTACCCCAAATTATTTAACTTTAATTTAATATTTATACCATCTCGTGGCAAAGTGCAAAAACATTTCTAATACGAGTGTCATCATATAGGTTTAAATTTATTATAAGAAAACTTAACTTATATATACCACTAAATGGGAGAAAGTAAAGACTCAGTAATTCTAAATAAAGGTTATTAATAATTAACCGACCTTTTCTTACGAATTCCTTATCAGTATGCATTAATCCAATCTTCTTCATGAGATCGTAATTGACAGAAGGATTATTTTTGAAGTTATCAAAAGTGAGATGATCACACAATTTAGCTATTTGATCATCGGAATATTTCTTGCCAAAGAAATCACAAACTCGACGTACAGATGATCCAAGATCCTTAAAATAATAATTTAACATAAAAATAAATCAGTGGCGCTACAACCTTTTTAGGTCGAAATCTGTTTCATGATCATTTGTCAATCTAATAGGCAAGTAGGTGATCAGCTTCATGTACCTGACACATTCCGACGACTTTTTGGGTCTACGGCAAGCCGATTTCCTCACTATGTTTTCCGTCACCGTTACACATATACAGAAAGAAAGTCTATCAGTGCACAGCCGGGGAATGAACCTACGAACCCAGGGATGAGAGTCGCACGATAAAACCACTAGGCCAAAACAGGTCGCCAACAGTTTATCAGTTTGATATATTAAGAGAGAGCAACTCTTTTTTTTCTATGACCTATGTGTTTATATAATTTATTATTATTTTATTTTATATAATCTATGATTGTCAGTTGTCAATTGGTTCTGACTAAATCTATATTACCAATAAATCATTTTTTTAATTATTATTTTCACCGATCAATCTCCTTCGTGCCTTCTCCATCTACACGACACTGGCGAAGTACCTTAGTTGGCACAAATAAAAGCCATTTATAAAAAAAACCAATAAATCATATGATGGCCGAGTTAGCTTTAGCTGGTTGGTTAAAAGTATATTGTACTAAAATAAATACCAGTAATGGTTTTAGATTTATTTAAATATTAGCAGTTACAATAACTGCTGTTGCACTCGAAATATCGAGTTACGGAAATAATGTGTTAGATTCGCGTTTATGTCCGATATAGGTTAACAAAGTAAAAATCGTAAATCACAAACAGGCAAAGAAGTTTATTATTAAGGAAGCATATTACCTTTCTCATGTCTTCATAAAACAAAAAGAGTAGGTTGGGATGGTTTCGTTTCTCCCACGCCTCTTTCACGTTATCAAAGTATGGGGACCAGGATTCTGAAAGTTATTCATATAAAGTTATGCCGGTTTTGGAGTCTTTAGCCACATAAAATATTGTTTTGACGGTATTCAAACACGAGGTAAAATTTAAAGTAAAACTAAAAAACCATGGGGGCGATGTACATAGGGTCTCAAATATTTTTAAATAGACAGGCGTGCCCTAGAAGATGGAAATTGCTCTTCTCTTGTATAGCGCCGTATTTTATTTATTGTAAAAGTGGAATCCAGCCAAGGGCCCAGATTTCAATAGATATTTTTTTAGTAGGAAGGCAAATAAAACGATATATTCACTGACATATTTGAAAACACACTATTTATATCACAAACACAAAAAACAAGGGATGGGGCGGTATTACTGCTAAAAACATGAACGGACTTACGAAAATAATATTAATATTGACCTAAGCAGCTACATAATTATAAATTAACATACACCATAGAATAATCAAATATATATAGTATTAAAAATTTTCTTTATCTTATGTAGGTTAAGAAAATTGTAAATACTTTTAATAATAATAATAATTAAAAATTAATATGTTAATAAATAAAAACTACATATAAATGTTAAATTTATTATGCAAGTTTTTTTTTGAAACTTGCGTATTTGCTAACTATACGATCACTTAACCAATTAGACTTAGGGTGAGATCTATAGTGCGCACTTAGGGTGAGATCTATAGTGCGCACTTGGACTTTGCTCAGACTTACCTTACGAAAAACTTTGCTTAGTGTACACTAAGGTTAAACTATGATTTCGTATTTATAGACATTTTAACGGTGAGATTAAGCTAAGCCCAAGCTAAGACAGAAAATGTCAAAATACAAATTGATGTTTCATTTCATGCAATACTTTGTTTATTATCCTTTAAAAAAGTTAACAATAACAAATATTTAAAAATCTAAAACGGTACACATATATCTTCAATTTATTGTTATTTATGTATTCATTTATTTTATTATTGCAATAACTAGAAATTCACGAGTAACCTTTAGAAAATGTATTAATTATTTAAAGATGATAATAATTTTATTACGTAGAACGGATCGCAATGTTTTGACAACAGCAACAGAGCACTTGTATCAACTATCAACAATTGAAAATTTTAAACCACTTTAATTTATTAAATTGATCTTTCTTCAAAACAACGACTGGCTTTGTGACTTGGACCTGGACCAATCTGGATCGTATACCTACTTAAGACCTACGCATTCCCGAAGCACTGTGACGTTTTGTGATTTGGCTTTGTTACATGGACCGCTTGGAAATATCAATATCGAAAGTGACATGATGGAGAGAGAGAGTTCTATCTTCAATAGAAAACATTGAAAGGGTAGGAACTGCAGCCGATATGAATCCACGAATGCCTAAAGTGTTGTATATGTTCGGAACTAATAAAACCAAAATCCTTCCATCCTGTACGGTGAGAATGAATTCAAAAGAAGGAACCGTATTTTGAAACACACGGTATTAAATGTGATCCTGACGCTGATCATTACAAACTTGCAACCTTATAACAACAGAGGATCGCCAAACCTACCGCAATTGCAAATACTTATTGCATTAAGGCATAAAAATGCAACTGAATGTTTTCAGGTAATATTGTGTTCATAAATATGTATGGTTTTTCAATTTGATATATTATACCTCTTCTCTTTCGAAGACTTTTGTCTTCTGACTTTCAGAAACATAACATATATGTGACTAATAATACTTAATTGACATTACAGATGGTGTGTGGTGATCTGAACAGCATAAGCCAATCTACAGTCTGTTTAATTATAAATAAGGTCTCTGCAGAGTTGAGTAAATTACTTCCTAGATTTGTAAATTTTCCAAGAAATATGAACACAGCCAAAACGAAGTTTGAAGAATTAGGAAGATCTAATACTCACCATGGCCTAAACAGTATAATCGGAGCTATTGACTGCACCCATATAAAAATTAATAGACCCAAAGGTATCGCTCACTCTGAAGCATACAGAAATAAAAAAGGGTATTTTTCTGTAAATGTGCAAGCAATAATAGGGCCTGATATGGAAATATTTGCTATAGTGACTAGGTGGCCTGGCAGTTCACATGACAGCAGGATATTTAGAAAATGCCTGTTTTAGTAGGTGACAGCAGTTATCCAGCACTTAACTTCATGTTAACAACACTTTTAAATCCAATGACAAGAGCTGACAATATTTATAATTATTCTCAAATAAGAACTAGGCATATTTTTTAAAGGTTTTTCGGAGTGTGAAAAAGGAAATTTCCATGTTTACAGCTAGGACTACAGTCAAAATTGACAAATACTAGTTATATATAATTATAGCTTGTGCTGTATTGCATAATATAGGACACATAATATAATACAGAGAGGCGATGCTTATGATGATGGTGATCTTGCTGATAGCAGAAGTTGAGTAACACAGAAACAATGAAAGATCTCCTACAGGTCTAGCATTCCGGCAATCTGTGATTGCACAATTTAACTAGGTAATTTGTTTGGTAATAAAGAATATCAAAACAAAACTTGTTTCATTTTAATCATTTATTTTCTGATTCTTTTTTTAAGTGTAATACATATTTCTAATACTAATTTATATTTTTGTTGAAGAAATTCTATTTCTAACAGATTTTTTAATTTCATATGTTCCACTCCTATCTCAAATTTTTTAGGGTAGTCAGGTAATAAATGGTAGAAGATTCAGGGAAACGAAAATAACAGATGTGAAGCGAGAGACATCGGTTAGGTTATAGTTTGAATTTCGTTGTCACTATTGTATGCCAGGGCTGCCAGGTGACATACAAAATCACACCAGTTATTTTTAAGATTTCTCAAAAATGGGGTTTGAACAATTACATAAATAATATAAATAAATACCATAATAATGTGTAATTATTTTATTTCATGCATTTCATAGGTATTTATCAAGATCATTTATAATTTCTTTGAATTCAAATTCTATTTTTTCCCAAAGTCTATGGAACTCCGATACAAAATGGCAACACCGTTCATTAAAAACCGACAAAAATAAAAAGTCCAGTAAAAGATATGATGGTAAAGCAAATTTTGGGCCATCATTTTTTGTTAGGCTTATAGTCAAAGTTTTTGGTAAGTCGTCGATTTCGTGGACTTGAGATTAAGCTAAGCCAACACTAGGGAGAGATTCGCAGTTTGCTCTATAAATACCGACTGTGTCTTAGCTCGATAGTTAAGTCAGAGCAAAGTCTGAGGGTGAGATCTATAGTGCGCACTTAGACTTTGCTCTGACTTAACTATCGAGCTAAGACACAGTCGGTATTTATAGAGCAAACTGCGAATCTCTCCCTAGTGTTGGCTTAGCTTAATCTCAAGTCCACGAAATCGACGACTTACCAAAAACTTTGACTATAAGCCTAACAAAAATGATGGCCCAAAAATTTGCTTTTACCATCATATCTTTTACTGGACTTTTTTATTTTTGTCGGTTTTTAATGAACGGTGTTGCCATTTTGTATCGGAGTTCCATAGACTTTGGGAAAAATAGAATTTGAATTCAAAGAAATTATAAATGATCTTGATAAATACCTATGAAATGCATGAAATAAAATAATTACACATTATTATGGTATTTATTTATATTATTTATGTAATTGTTCAAACCCCATTTTTGAGAAATCTTAAAAATAACTGGTGTGATTTTGTATGTCACCTGGCAGCCCTGGCATACAATAGTGACAACGAAATTCAAACTATAACCTAACCGATGTCTCTCGCTTCACATCTGTTATTTTCGTTTCCCTGAATCTTCTACCATTTATTACCTGACTACCCTAAAAATTTGAGATAGGAGGGAACATATGAAATTAAAAAATCTGTTAGAAATAGAATTTCTTCAACAAAAATATAAATTAGTATTAGAAATATGTATTACACTTAAAAAAAGAATCAGAAAATAAATGATTAAAATGAAACAAGTTTTGTTTTGATATTCTTTATTACCAAACAAATTACCTAGTTAAATTGTGCAATCACAGATTGCCGGAATGCTAGACCTGTAGGAGATCTTTCATTGTTTCTGTGTTACTCAACTTCTGCTAAAAATACCCTTTTTTATTTCTGTATGCTTCAGAGTGAGTGATACTTTGGGTCTATTAATTTTTATATGGGTGCAGTCAATAGCTCCGATTATACTGTTTAGGCCATGGTGAGTATTAGATCTTCCTAATTCTTCAAACTTCGTTATGGCTGTGTTCATATTTCTTAGAAAATTTACAAATCTAGGAAGTAATTTACTCAACTCTGCAGAGACTTTATTTATAATTAAACAGACTGTAGATTGGCTTATGCTGTTCAGATCACCACACACCATCTGTAATGTCAATAAATTATTAGTAGTCACATATATGTTATGTTTCTGAAAGTCAGAAGACAAAAGTCTTCAACATATGTATTTAAAATCATTTGAGAAGAGGTATAATATATCAAATTGAAAAACCATACATATTTATGAACACAATATTACCTGAAAACATCCAGTTGCATTTTTATGCCTTAATGCAATAAGTATTTGCAATTGCGGTAGGTTTGGCGATCCTCTGTTGTTATAAGGTTGCAAATTTGTAATGATCAGCGTCAGGATCACATTTAATACCGTGTGTTTCAAAATACGGTTCCTTCTTTTGAATTCATTCTCACCGTACAGGATGGAAGGATTTTGGTTTTATTAGTTCCGAACATATACTTTAGGCATTCGTGGATTCATATCGGCTGCAGTTCCTACCCTTTCAATGTTTTCTATTGAAGATAGAACTCTCTCTCCATCATGTCACTTTCGATATTGATATTTCCAAGCGGTCCATGTAACAAAGCCAAATCACAAAACGTCACAGTGCTTCGGGAATGCGTAGGAGTTAAGTAGGTATACGATCCAGATTGGTCCAGGTCCAAGTCACAAAGCCAGTCGTTGTTTTGAAGAAAGTTAAATTTAATATTTATAAGCTCATACAAACAGAAACAGAAAAGAGAAAAAGTGGTTTAAAATTTTCAATTGTTGATACAAGTGCTCTGTTGCTGTTGTCAAAACATTGCGATCCGTTCTACGTAATAAAATTATTGTCATCTTTAAATAATTAATACATTTTCTAAAGGTTACTCGTAAATTTCTAGTTATTGCAATAATAAAAAATAAATGAATACATAAATAACAATAAATTGAAGATATATGTGTACCGTTTTAGATGTTTAAATATTTGTTATTGTTTACTTTTTTAAAGGATAATAAACAAAGTATTGCATGAAATGAAACATCAATTTGTATTTTGACATTTTCTGTCTTAGCTTGGGCTTAGCTTAATCTCACCGTTAAAATGTCTATAAATACGAAATCATAGTTTAACCTTAGTGTACACTAAGCAAAGTTTTTCGTAAGGTAAGTCTGAGCAAAGTCCAAGTGCGCACTATAGATCTCACCCTTAGGGTCCTTCAAGAAAAGAGCCTACCAAACTCAAACTCAAAATACCTTCATTCATATAGGTAAACAAGTACACTTATGAACTTCAAAAAAGAAGTTAAATTAACTGTAAATTTACATTTACTACCAGTTCGCAAGTCAAGGTCGTAGAGCTAGCAAGAAACTTTCCGCCACTCTTTTTAATCGCTGAGTTTTGAGTCATACAAATTCTTTGACCTGGAGAAAATCAATCTCAAGGATTAGGATCATTTAACGAATAGTCTAATTTTTAATTAGACGAATAGTCTAATTTATAAAAAGCTTTATTGATTAATTTACGTTCAACAAGGGCTTTGAATTTATTTAGTGATAATTCTCTAATTTCGCTTGGGAGTTTGTTGTAAAAACGAATACCATTTCCAACACATTTTACCAATTCTCAAAAAGGCCGGCAGCGTGCTTGCGAGCCTTCTGGGAGTGCAAGTGTCCATGGGCGGCGGTATCACCTAACATCAGATGAGCCTCCTGCCCGTTTGCCTCATGTAACATAAAAAAAAACTTACGGTAATTCTTCATGGTCCAAAACTGTTTAAAATCTCCATTAAAATTGGCCAATTTCAGTGAATCTATTAAATGGTAAAATGAGACAATGGCATCTCGTGGATCTCTTGCAACATAAACCATCTTGGCTTCGAGAGCTTTTGGTGGTAATAAAGAGAGTGGTAAGTGGGTCTTTATGAATCGTGGAGACGGCATCTCGTTGACGAGCTCCACCGCAGATTTCACCACATTTTGTATATCTTTTGCATTTGTTTCATTGTCTTTGCTTTCATCGAGAAGCTTTTGTTTCCTTGAATCATTCAAGAACATTGATCCTCTGAAATTTTTAATTTTTATTACAATCTTTTTCGATACATTTCTAAAAAAAAATACTCCTTTCACACAATCTAATGCTTTCAAGGAGGTGATAATTTTTTAAGTGAAAAATTCTTTAGTGGCGTTGTACACTTTTTTTGGAATGGGTAAAAAATGTTAAACTCGCGTCAGGACACGTGACCTGATCGAAAATTCGTAAGACGGATGTTTTTTTCACCGATTATGAAACTTCGTGCTATATAGTTACGGTTTTAATTCATTTGTCTCTTTCCTCAGATACATCGATGCATGAGGAATTGGACCTTAAGTCATCATCAAGGTTTAATTTTGCAAAACGTCTAAAGCTTTATTATTAACGATTTGGTCAGACTGACGCGAATAAAGGATGGCAACTTAAAAAATAGTCAATTTTCCTAATTGAATTATAAAATACTAATTTTAATTATTTTGTGTAGGTTTTTTAAAGTGAAAACTTCTTTAGTGGCGTTGTACACTTTTTTTGGAATGGGTAAAAATGTTAAACTAGCGTCAGGACACGTGAACTTATCGAAAATTCGTATGACGGATGGAGAGTAGACAGCTGGCGCAGCGTATTTAATGTAATATAAATTGTCATGTTTGTGTACTATATATAGCGCAATAAATAAATATTGAATTCTACCACATAAATGATAGTACTTTTATACTGATAATTAAAGCAATTAGTGCAAAATTATTCCCTAACCATTCCAGAATTTCAAAAATGCACGTTAATATTCAAGTTTTCACTTCTACCGGCACTCGCGGAGTGCAACCAGTCGTTTTTTTTTAAGACAAGGTGCCTTTATAGCGAGGGAGGGTTTTAATCATATTAATAATCATAATGTCTTAATATTAAGTTATTATGACATTATGATGAATATGACATTTGCATGCCATATTTTTATATAGCGGATTGTGTTTTTTTATTATAATTAATCAATCTGAATTCACTCTCTTTGGTATTAAACGTTTAATGTACTTAATCCAATTTATAGAAACCAATTTAAGGAATAAATACTGTCTTCATCATTCTCACTTAACTGCATTCATGATATTCCATTAGTATAATTTTTCCTGTTTGTATAATTGATTTTAAAATTTAATTGTGCATATTAGGAATATAAGGCATTGTGTGTTCTTAAATTGCTTTTTTTTGTTTATTGAAGGGCGTGCGATACACCATGAAGTCGTCTGAAAACCCGGCAGCATACGTTTTTCTTTCTACGAGTATATTACATCTATATTAATGCAGCTTGTTGAGATAACGGTCAAGCTCCAAAAATCTTTCCTGTTCCGTCTAGAATATCAATGAAACTTATGCATGTATACAAGAAGTGCATACATAGACACGCTTACTGCAACTTATGCTGCAATTAATCTCATTATACCCTCTATTTAACCGAATTCAACAAAAGGAGTTTATCGAAATTGATAATATTTGTATATGGTGAATAAGGCTTTCAAGAAAGTGGTCAAAATTGAAGTAATAGAATTAGTTTGCGTAAATATTTTTAAAAAATTTCGGAAACTAAAATTGATTTTGAGATGACTAAATGAACTCTAACTTAGTAAACAGTTGATGTTTTATTGAATAGATTTTAAATATATATAATATATAGATAGTATATCCAAGAAGTGTTTAAAGAGACATAGGTATAATAGAGGTCCCTTATGTTAACAGATTTTTAGTCATATTTATTATTCAAAATTACTTTTTTAGTTGTGTTTTTAAGTGGACCATTGACCAGATGTGCTACACTATAAGAAGATGATTTCAGAGTTTCAAACCTACTCTAAGAATGGATATCTGTCTGTCAGTGGTATTTTCAAAGCTGTTTCATAGTCCAAGTCATTCACCACCAACCATACTAACTCCTGGGTCCATGTTGTTCCTGAAATATAACAATATTAGGTTAAAACAACATTAAAATCTGTTGTATTTTTTACAATTGCTGTAATCTAACCTTATATTACTTATTGCGCAATAATATAATTATCAGTTATTTTAATAACCTCATAAATATTCATAAAAACTCAAACTAACTAAAACGAAAAACGCTTTTGTATTTTCCCTCAAATTATGTTTGCACAAAATAATATTCGTGTTTTAGATTACTTATTAATTTACTTTCCATGAATAACTTGTAAGTTAACCTAGTAAACCCAGGTTAGAAAATTTCGTAAATTTTAATTGACCAATTCATAAAATCAATTTATTTCGTAAATACCTGATCTTGGATAACTGAAGACGTAAACGTCAGATGGTTTCACTTCCATGTTATATATGTCAGCTGCCATTTCTCTGAACTTTTTTGGGAATATGTAGCCTTTAGGTCCAATACTGACAATTTCTGTGGAAAATAAACTATATTATATATACTATTAGCGCGTATAGCAGCAGCAGAGCAGTGTTGGCCTAGTGACTTCAGCATGCCACTTTCATCCCTGAGGTCGTAGGCACCGCTCCGGCGACGCACCGCAATTACTTCGAGCTATAGGACACGGGCGTTGCGGTGTGGCAATATATTTTACAGCTCCCCGCCTCGTCCCGCAGATCACAAGCCCGACGCGCTTGCGGTGCGACGACGGCGGGGCAACGCATCGTGTGACATGGTATAGTAATTTGTATGTAGGATGACATTGCGGCACCGCTCTGGCGACACACCGCACCGTTAACGCATCGTGTGGCCGCGCTCTTAGAGCCAAAAAGTCGACGGCGTGCGTCAGGCACAGAAGGCTGATCACCTGCTTGCCTATTAGATTAACAAATGATCATGAAACAAATACTTCCAGAACTCTGAGACCTAGACCTAAAAAGGTTGTAGCGCCATTGATTTATTTTTTATTAGAGCGTATAGATTGTAATTAATCACCTATATACACTTAAAATATTAAAGCCGTGCCTTCCGGAGACCGAGTTTGATTTCCGAGAAAAATATAACTACATAACTTAAAGCCGCATTTTCTGTTGAATCATTCATTGTCTGTGGCGTTAAAACATTACGCTGGGCGCTGAATGGCATGAATTTCATTGATAATCATTTTCATTTTTTTCATTTCATTTCTTTTACAGACAAGTAGGTGATAAAACAATAGGCGACATGGTGAGGTATAGAATGTTGCCGATTTTTTAGTCTTAGACATGCCGATTTTCTCACGATATTGTCTAAGTGAATTTTTCACATAGAAGAATGCATCACGTCGGCATTTGGATCATCATGTCATCGTAACGTGTTTTTTTTATATGTTTCTACGTTACGTAGGCATGTTAATAGGTATTCTTATTACACTCAAGGTCGATCATTGATATAAAATATAATAATAACTTTCCTGACAAACCGGCATCCAGAAACTGATAAAAATAAAAAAATAAAATAAAATATGTTTATTATGGAACATAAGATGCATATCACTTATTCCACGTCATTAAGTTTGAATCTGTAGGCATCCCTACTCATCGGCAAAGAAGACAGAGGGTGTAGGCCGAGAGAAAAAGCCGATTTATACCCTCACTTTCACACCTTTTCACAGCATAGCTGAATTAGGTATTACTTAGTTAAATGTATTTAATATTTTTTATTGATTTTTCCTTTCGTAAATATGTTTTTGTAAATATGGTGTATTCCATCTTTTAAACTTTTAATTTTTTTTACTAAATATATACACATATATTAAATTATATGTACATATATATTTTTTTTTAAATAACGATTTTATTTTTTTTAAACCGTGAACAAAAAATCTAATTTTTAAAAGCACGCGCGCGACCCGTTGCTGTTGAAATGTAAAAAATGCTATAAATTCTGCTTATACCCTTAAAAAATCGTGTAGGTATAACGCAATTCGTTATCTTATTCTTATATTTTATCAGTTATTGCAATGACCGCATATATTCTAAAACGTAAGTCAAGGTTTGAAAGATTAGGGACTTCGTAAGTGTTTATCTCAATTGGGCCTTTTTAATATAATAAATAAAACGCTAAATAGGGCATGGGGCAGAAACACAGACTAAGATCTAAACTGTTTTTTGAAAACTATTCTTATTAACAAAAATATTCAGTACCAATTTTTCTATAATATAAAATACGGGTTTGTCTATTTTAATCCGATTGTTTTTCCGGAAATTAAACCGTTACTACGCTCCAGTCGAAGGTTATAAGTGAGATGCTGTATAAAATATTTTTTTTGTTATATGTCTGTTGTAAAGCTGTATTACGGACTTTTTACGCTTCGTATAATTTACTATCCGTATCCTATTCGTATGAATGTTCGTGCTAACGTTTAGTTCTAAATACGCCCACGATGTATTGTTCTTAAAAAAAAGATTACATTACGTTAACTATTAAAGTTTTTCGTTACGATTCATGTTAGGAAGTAAGCGTAACAACGGTGGATAGAGAGACAATAGTAAACGTGTTACATGTTCTGACCGATTGTCCAATGTATGGTTACGACAGGTATAAGACGAATTTAAAGGAAATAATGTCATTAGGTTGTGGCATCTTTTTGGAATTTGCTGTAAAGGTCATACAAAAAGTTGTTAAAAGAAATAGGTAGTAGTGTTTTATCATCCGGGTTACCAATACCATTTACGTAAGTTATTTAATACCTCCGAAGACTACATAGTTGGGGAATTATCTAAAGAACATTTTTAAAATCTGATTATCAGAGTTCATGCGTTCATGTCTCTATACATAAAAACAAGCAACCACGGAAGCTATTCCTTCAATCCACAGTTATTTTTCGAGACGTGGGCTGGTATTGTGAACCAGGGCGTAAGTTAAAAACTAATCAAGTTGCCAATGCAATGAAGAAGTAACACGCCTGGTGGTATGTTTTGAGGTCGACGTTGTTGAAAAAAAACTGGTGGGACCCGAAAAAAGTATAAAAAATGCATACCATCATGATTATGCGAGACTTCTGTCTCTGGTGTTTCCACATCTCTAATCTCGTACGGGTAGTTGTTATTCGCCATTTCTAGAACAGAAGAGAACCGAGTTGATCACGAGAAAATTCAACTAATACTGAATTGTTTCTCTATGAAGGTAACTTATATGGTTAAATCTTCGTAGAAATAAAATATTTATCTGATATCCTACGATAATATAATCGATTATGTTTGTGAAATGGGTTTGTTTGTTGATAACGTAAAAAGAAGTTTACTACATATTTGTAGATAAATTTGTATAAAAGTTTTATAAATACATAAAAAAGTATATACGAGTATAGAATACTGTTCATTTTTTCGCAACTGACTGGTCTTCAAGTGTTACCATGTCAGCCTTTTGCCCGTTAGCCCTAACGTTATTTCATACCGAAGTTTTTATATTGAAAATATCATATTATTTATATCATATATACGTATTGTATAGAGAGCAGTGTTGGCCTAGTGGCTTCAGCGTGCGACTCTCATCCCTGAGGTCGTAGGTTCGATCCCCGGCTGTGCACCAATGGACTTTCTTTCTATGTGCGCATTTAAGATTCGCTCAATCGATAAAGGAAACATCGTGAGGAAACCGACATGTCTTAGACCTAAAAGTCGATGGCGTGTGTCAGGCACAGGAGGCTTAACACCTAATTGCCTATTAGATAAAAACAATGTTTTCTGTCATGAAACAGATTCAGAAATCTGAGGCCCAGACCTAAAAGAGGTTGTAGCGCCAGAGATACGTATTGTACATATTGTGAGCATCGTCGTAGGAACAAATTAATAATAATAATAATTTTAATAACTTTGTGTTACAGGTTTTAGATTTGACATTGACATGATGATTTAAGATAAAAATATTGAAAGTCTTATTATATCTAAATTAGGACTTATTTTTCATGACATAGACAATTTTTATAGATTTGCAAAATGATAACTTTTTGCCCTTAACATGAAGGCATTGTTTAAAATATTAATTTTCACGTAATTTAAACACAATTAGACTTTACATTAAACCCTTATAATAATAATAGTAAAAGCCCTTATTGCCGTAATTACTTATACTAGTACATAAAAATGTGAAGTACTAAAAAATTGACATTAAAAATAAAAAAAGGGTGCATGTACTTATATACGCGCGTAAGAAGTTTTTTATAATGCCAAAGAAGTATAACTTCACTTGCATGCAATCGCAAATAATTAAATACAATTTAATAATCAAAGACTGGAAACGGAGTCATTATAGTCAATAAAGTTCAGTTTACATTTGAAAAATTAAATCAATAAATATTTATTATTATTCTCTTACATTAAGTGTAACATAAATTATATTATTATTCGAATGTTGTTTTTAAATTATGTCCAATGCCGTAGCATCTTCCGTGGGCAACTTCATTCTGTTAATTTTGCGCGCGCATCGTACAATTTCACTCTCATAAATTTTTCATAACGCGCCTAAAGAAGTATAACTTCAAAAATAAATACTAATAACTAATCGGCAAGCCGGTTGATTTCTGTTATACAGCTTGTCCTTGGACATAGGCCTCCTCTAAGGGCTTCCACTCTTCTCTGTTTCTAGCCAAATAGGGCCAGCTGCTCTACTTATATCATCTTCCCATCTTTTTATTTGACTTCCTCGTTTTCTTTTGTCATAGCGAGGAAGCCATTTCGTCACTTTTTTCGTCCATTTATCTTTATCTTCTGTCATAATATATCCTGTCCACATCCATTTCCATCTTTTACTAGAAGTAACAGCATTTCTTAACTTTGTAATGTCCTTTATTACTTCTAGTTTTACATTAAACTCTTACTACGTTCTAATAAGATAAATTGAATCAATCTTATTTTTTGCGATTTTTTTATAAATCATACACCACCTGACTACTAAACAACTGACTAGAACATGTTTCTCATACATATCCACAGTTACAGTTGATCATCCAAGATGTTGGTAGATGGTCTCTAACATTTCGCAGTCTTAGGTCATATTTTCTCATAGAGGTAACATAATGTACACTTATGAACGTCAGCACAAAAATAAATGCATCTAAATTGAAATTTACTGCCAATTGTCAAATCAAGGGCGTAGAAGGCACGAGAAGAAATTGCAAAAAAACGCTGCGTCACTCTTGAATCACCAATATTACATCATGTGTTTAGCTATATTTATTATTAATACGATAAATATTGATTAAAGATTAATCTAGGTATATCTAATCGTAATAATTCAGATTATACCAGTCCAATGCTTCTATAGATTGTTGCTTATGAAAACTTACGACTCATAATAATAAATATACAGTCATTGTTACATATATCGTGTTAGTATCAACTCATATCTATATACAGAGAAAACATATACAACAAAATTATATAATTAACTATAATAGGTCCAGTGGCTTAGTAGAGAAAGTATATGGATGAATATTGTTTTAAAATTTACTATAACTTAAATGAAATTTGACGCCATTGATATTAAAGAACATTTTGGCAACGAAAACCACTTTTCTGTTTTTAACGTTTTGTTGGATATTTTAATTAATAGGTAACAAACCTATTAAAAAAAAATACAATATAACAAGATCAAAATGCAAAACTGGTGATCATTCTGGATGTTGTGAATATATTTTGATTTATTATATTATCAAATTTCAAATCTATATATATATAGAAATGAAACCCGTTTTCCGTTGTCACGACATGACAGAAAACGGCTTGACGGATTTGTCTGATTTTTTTTTATAATATACCTTGAAGTACGAGGATGGTTCTTACGGAGAAAAATTAAAAAAAATTGAGTGAAAAAGTCTAAAAACAACACTTTTCTATATTCCCATACAAAATATTCGTAATAATACTTAAAAGTCAATTTGAACTTTAATACCATAACATAAAGTTCAAGTGTTAGTGGACGGAAGGTGAATTTGTATTTTTTGACATAATGTATTTGTTGTTAATCAATTTTCTTTTTTATCTTACTAGCTAGACCGGTGTCCCGAATAGCAGAATAAGTATTTTAAACAAATAAAGAATCGACTGTTAGGCGGTACGATGTTCGCCAGGCCAGCTAGTAATGTTAATAAAAAAGAACCAGTGGCACAATAACCTGTAGGTTTCGGCCTCAGATTTCTGTATCTGTTTTGTGACCAACTTTTATTTGTAATAGGCAAGTCAAAAAGCACGATGATTTCCTTTACCGTACAATCGAATGTTTGATGCGAACAAAGGCAGAAAGTTCATTTGTGAACAGCTGAAATCGAACCTACGACCTCAAGGATGAGAGTCGTACGCTTGAGCCAATAGAACAATGTATAAATAATATCAAATTCAATTCAACATGTTTAAAGTTATCGTTTGATAAGTTTCAATCAATATCAATATCTAGAGAATTATATTTCAAAAAGATTTATCTTACTTCAAGAACTTTCTACAGCTCAATTGGTACATAAAATAAATCCCTAATTGTATGATAATTTTAGGTATATACAGTAGTATTGCATACATATAATATATTATATTGTACGTTTCGTACGTGATAATATTCATAACAATAAGATAAGAAATAGAACAATAGATGTTTAATACGTTTACTTAAAAATATAATAATTTACAAATAAATTACATAATGAAATAATAAATTAGTATCCTATAATAATCGGGAGATCAGGTTACGTCGATACAGCTATAACTTCTGGGGCTCGTGTAGAAGGTGCTTCCGGTTCATCAACGCACATGAGCGTCACTGGATCCCTCATTCTATCCGGACCGCACTGCTCCATCGCGCCAATGAGTTTAAATTCATTTTTATCAGATTCCTGTTCTTCTGCTTCGATCGGTTTCCGGCCGGCGATTAATACCTCCGCATTACGCCCGTCACCCTCAACTTTCTTCTCACCTTCCGTGCCAATTTCGACGCGGTACGGTGTGTTCGGCTCAACAAACGCCTCCATCACATGTACATCAGCTCGCTCCTGGATATCATCGCTGCCTTGCTTCCCGCTCTTCAACCAGCTCAAGTCTAAGAGGCTGCTGGGTATCTTCTGAGGGATAGCAACTAGAAGGACGACGTTTTGGACATCAGCTTGTACATTGACTTCGCCTTCTTGACGTTGGTCGTAAGTGGCGGGCGCGGCGAACGCCAGTGAGATAAAAGCAAGGATTAAGAGCATGGTGCGTGCATTCGAGACACCTCCCGCGATTTGACTGCGCGTAAACATCTCCCGCGATGCTTTTACCGTGCGCCGGCGAACCAGTCGTAAATGAATCGAGAACAGTAACGGTTCACGATGAACGGACGCTCTCTTCACTTTGCATTTAGCTTATGACTATCACTTAGCTATCAGAGAAAGGATGTCCACTATAAACACATTGATCACTGTTCTACTTTGCTGTGGGAGTCGCGTGTGTACTCGATAGATATCTTAAAGTATGTGAGGAAGCCGTATCGAAATTGTCGACGACCTTTGACTGACACGGTGCGATAACCGAGTAACATCAACACACAAATCTATTTTTAACTCTTTTATTTAAGATAAAATGACGATCTTTACATGATTATAGAGGAATGCGTCGTTTTATAATGTTTTGTAGTATTTGCATAGGGCTTCGAACTAAATATACTACTTTAGGTCTAATATATAGAAACCTAAAAATACAGCAAATTATAAAATATGTCACAACAAAGGTATTTTATTTTACAGTATTAAAAATGCATACATAGTCATAGACAATATGCTACATGCAATACAAAATAAATGATGTCCCTTTTATCGGAGTTAGCAATTAAGATACTTAAAGAAAATACGGAAAAATGTAGTAGTGATAGTAGCTCGTGCATTGGAAAATCGTGTTGTTGAAAATCCTGTGCAAAAATGTATTATTATTTGTATGTGCGCAAGGAATTGCTTGCGAAAAGAAAACATCATGAGGAAACTCAAGAGCTAAAAATCAGCGAAGAAAAATTATCAACGAAATAGATACATAAATCCGTTTGTCAAAATACAATATATTTTTGGCGCCCGGAAGTCAGACTTAGCGCGAACTATAGAGTCATAACTCCGGTATGTTTTGACATAACTTTGTTTCTTAATCTCACCATTAGCGCCAAGGTATTTAATTAATGTAATAATTAATGTAAAAAGTACCAATTATAATCATAATTAACAAATAAAAGATAGTTCTCAAAACATAAAATCTAAGATAAAAACAAATCACTGTAATTTCAAATGCAGTTTGCGATCCCGTTATATGCTTGTGAGACTGGTTGAGCAATGACAGTTTCTTGTTGAACAGGAAGAAATCAATGTTTTATAATGTATTAGAGGATATTAGCGGTTATTGAAGCAAAAAGGTTAATAATAGTGTTAATTGTTTTTACTCGGTGTGTTTATTTAATACATTTCTATACTAAAACTAGCTTACCCGGCAAACATTGTTTTGCCATGTATATTATTTCTAGGAAACTTTTTTTTAGTTCAATAAAAATAACTATCTACTATAATAAAAAATAGGGGTTGACCGTAGAGGGGTTAAAATTAAGGGTTGTATGTATTTTTATGCCATAAAATAAAAAAAAAATTGTTATCCAAAATTTTTTTTTTGGGTCGGGCACCCCTTATCACTTAGAGGTTGGAAAGATAGATAGTAGCCGACTTACTGAATATGAATAAAAAAATTTTAAAAAAAACCGCAACCCTTTTCGGGGGGGGGGAAAAAAAAAAAAAAGGCGCGAAAAAAATTTTTTTCCCCCCAAAAAAAAAAAATTAGAGATGAAACCGGGTCTTGGTCAAATGAGAAATTTAATAAATTTTTTAGTCGTTTTTCTAGTTTATTCTAAGCTTGTAAAATTTTTAATTCATTCAATGATTAATATCTGCAGCTGAGTTTCATCATCGGACGTCGAGGTAGAATACGAAATCCGCCGTTTCACAACTGAGCGTTTTTCAATACAGTTTTTGCCGCGCAACACCGCTATGCGGAACCAGCTGCCCACTGTTGTATTTTCGAACCAATTCGACTTAGGGTCCTTCAAGAAAAGAGCGTACCAATTCCTAAAAGGCCGGCAACGCACTCGCGAGCCCTCTGGCATTGAGAGTGTCCATGGGCGGCATATCACTTAACATCAGGTGAGCCTCCTGCCCATTCCATAGAAGTGTTCCATATAAAAGGAAATTAGACTTCTGTGCCGAAGCATGCGAAAGTCAAACGAACAGTCACGGAGGTACTTGATATGCAGATATATTCATTAGGTGCTTGTGTATAAGATATCATTTTTTAGTAAAATTTAGGTAACTTATTTGGATCTTTCTTAAGCTTTATTTAATAATAATAAAACGTTATTCATGACAGAAATATGGTTGTAACAAAATTGATCTAACGCTAGGAAATGTATTAAAGAAAAGCTGTGTAAAAAGGCTTACTATAAAGTTAACGATTATCTAGTTGATAAGAAGGCCTGGGACTAGTGCTAGGCTACTTCGAATTAATTTGCGCTATTTGTTTTAAAATAAGTGTTGTTTGATGATGTGCTATTCTAAAAGAGTACCTACCGAGAGTTTTTTACGCCGGCTTTTTCTCTCAGCCTACACCCTCTGTCTTCTTTGCCGAAGAGTAGGAATGCCTACATACTCAAATTTAATGACGTGGAATAAGTGATACTGTATCTTATATTCCATAATAAACATATTTTATTTTTTATTTTATTTTTTTGTGTGTTGTGTGTGACTAGACTTCAATTATTCCGTGCATGGTGTAGGTACGTTTAAACAATTTCATTTCAAGTAAGAAAAAATTGTACTTAGTGCTATATCTAATCAAAAGTCGTATAAGACCTTAAGTATGAGTATATTTAAAAAAACAATCTTGTCTGAATGAACAGTGTCAGCCTAGGACCGGGATTCTGAATACCGATACAATGAAGAAAAATATCTACGCGTCGAATACCACCTACTTGTATATTAGTACATAGTAAAATAAGGAAAGGTTAGAAAGCTTACTTTACTAACGTTACTTCTATATAGAGAAGCAATGTGAAACAAATGCAGTCCGTTTTTGCACGTAGAATCTTTGCAAAGCTTTTGATAAAAACGAACCAAGTCTACGTCAATTAACTTTTTACGGAAAAGCTTTCAGCAAAAAGCTCCGTTATTTTCAACTATAAACGTGATTTTATAAAAACTTCAACAACCATTGTACCTACTAGAAAATCCAATCTCTACGTGTCGATTGTTAGTTACATATTTATATATAATTTGCTTTGTTAATTGCACCAATAAAAGTCATAGAATTACTGTAATCTATAGATACAAGGTTTCTATAACCGAGCTAGCTAATTGATTTTTTTTAAATTAATTAATTACATTAGTTTTATCAAATTAATGTTTTATCGATCTATTAAAATAAAACAAAGATTTTGGGATTTTTCAATAAGAATTCATTTTTTATTTTAACAAAACAGTCAATGTACAAGTACACACTTAACAATAACATCTTATAACTAATAAATGCAGTTAATCATATCACGCGACAATCATGGCTTAAAAGCTAAGTACTAAAGTCAATGATGACGATTTTTACGTAGCAGGGGCAACAGCATATTCGCCAGGCGATATTTCAATCTGAAAAATAAATAACATTAAATATTTGTTTCTAGTACTTTCCCATTACAAAAGTTCGTACAATGTCATCTGAGCTGTAACGCTCTAATATTATAATATTCCGCCCGTAACTAAGTGTAATTCAAAATTACGCGTTAACTGTTATAAATGAATGTGGGCGGAGATATAATTTGATCTTTGGCTGTTAAATAATCGTTCTATATTAAATCTTGAAAATAAAACAAAAGACAATTTCGAAATTAAAATTACCTTTGAGTTTTCTCCTTGTTCCGCTGAGAAGCATCCTTCTTTTGCAGCTTGACATCAGTAACCTCATTGAGCGCATCTGGTTTTGAGTCCTGTGGTTTATCATCATCAGGCTTTGGCTTCAGGGGCTTGCTCGGCGGTTTCGGCTTCTGTAGTTCATTGAAGTCCTCTATATCAAGAAGGTCGCTAAGATCAATGTCAGAGGCTGCAGCTAGAAATGATTCTGCGGGGGCCACAGCGATCACGACTCCGTCAATGTTTAGCCTATAGTTCTCGGTACCATTTTGACGTTGATCGAAGTGCTTTTCAGATTTGTCACAATCGGGAGTAGGGGCGGCCGCTACTAGACCCAATAGCGTGAAAAGTACAGCGACCTCGCACACGATTCTCTTGTAGTTGACCATCGCGGCAGGTGTCTGTGCTAGCACTGAGCCGCACGGGAACCACTTTGAAACCGCTCTCCACTGCATCTTTTATTTATTGCCTGAGATAGCGGTAAAGACACCGGCACCGGAGCTATTGAACACCCGTTCCTAAACTAGAATTAACATGTTATGATAGCTTTAAATTTTACGATGCTATCTGTTTATAAATAACAGAAGACTATAATATGCTGTTAGAACTATAATTAATCTATAGTGTTAAATAAAGTTAAACATACCTATTACCTATAGCGGTTCTCTAAAATCTATCAATAATTGGTACAGAATACAGCTATTTGATACAGCCTTTTTTAATTAATCTCAATGGCCGGTTGGCACAGATTGAGGTGAACCTGTTGCAATGCACTTAACTGTACCTTCCGATAAACGGTAAGAAAGCGGCGCTTGACATCTTGGAGATTACTATCGTGTCTTATATGTGATTAGAAAAAATCTAAGATACGTTAATAATACATAAGTTAAAAGTAATAATTAATTTTAAAATACACTAAATTCAAACACGTTTAATTGTCAGAATTATAAACCTGTTCCACGCTTAGTGTAAATACACGAGATGTCGGGACATTGACATAATGTTAAGTTCAAAATACAAAAATATAACGAGTGCAATTAACAGAGGTAAAATTTGGTAAAGTGTTTTGCTTTTAAATGCGTTACTCGTAAATAAAACATAAGCCTCTTCAAATGCTGCGACCCTGCTTGAATGGTGGCAGACCCGCATGAAGAATGAGTTTTGGATGTAAGATATAATTTTAAACTTAACTAGTTAGGTATAATATAAAAATTTAAAACAATATTTTTATTTATACTATTATACATAGGTATGTAAGTACATTATGTGTTTTAGATTTTAGTGTTTTTCTTCAAAGGGTCACAACGATATTTATTAAAATCCTGGATAAACCTAATGTAATTTCTTCTTTTTATGTGGCGTTAGCCCCCGATGAGGGCTAACGCTTCGTAACATTTCGTATAAGTATTTCATTCGAGATAACGTCAAAGTCAGGATTCGAATACACGACCTCGGAATTGAGGGAGAATATTATATACTAAACTTAACAGTTTTACGCTGTGTAATGACCTATTGATACACTTTATATTAAAACACTAGGATGCTAAAGATCAATGAACTTGCCCGACTGACCGACATTTTGAATATTTGCATATTTATGTACACTTTGCTCGCATATTTGTAAGTTGTTAAACACCTTTTCGAAAGTTTATAAGTTGAGCTTAAAACGAGTTAAAGTAATCTCAATTCAAAAATAATTTAAATGTTCTAAGACAGTTAGCTAGGATTAGACACTCTTTGAATTTTATTTATTTATTTATTTACACTTTGTTGCATTATAATATGTATAAAAATTTAACATAATTACATGTAAAGGAAAGTCAACTGGCGGCCTTATCGCTTTCGAGCGATCTCTTCCAGGCAACCAAAAAGAAAGAAGAAACTAAACAGGAACAAAAAACAAACTAAACTAATAAAGGATAAATGAAAAAAAAAAAAAGTAAAAAGTGCACATGAATCAAATTAATTTTTTTTTAAGATCAGTCTCACGTTAGTTAGTAGGTAGGTATTAGGACAAGTGGACAGGTAATGTTTGTACAGAAGAAATTTAAAGGAAGATAGAGAGGGAGCTAAGCGAATAGGGGCGGGAAGTGAATTCCATAGCCTAACTGCAGAGACCTTAAAGGACTCGCCATGAGAAGGGATTTCTAAGATATAGTTTTCGGAAGAGCGTAAGCTATAGTTATAGTTATGGGATCTCAAAAATTTAAAATCATTTTTGAGATAGGAAGGAGTTTTAGGGTTGAACAGGATGGAATATAAGAGATGGAGAACATGATCATCACGTCGCTGACGAATGGAACCAGTCTAGCCGCTTACGGAACGCAGAGATATGGTCGTACTTTCTTAGACCGAATATAAATCGGAGACGATCCAGTTTATTTAGCAAAGCAATTTTATTAAACTTTGCAAAACCTGCAAAGAATGTTCCTTCTCTTCCGTTCGCATGCTCACAGCAGAGCATCGTGATGCTCCCGATCCCATTGTGGCAGATTTCTACACTGCTGCTTCCATATCTGACGATAAAACAATTATTATACATTCCATATTTGGTAAGTAATTGAAAAATATCGATTAATAATCGATTATTTTTATAATTGAAAATAATCATAGTCATTTTTATCTCCACCTCCCACATTATGTCTGGTCTTTATAACCCAAACTCGAACTACTAGGGATATTCGATATACAACATGTTTACAATCATACATTGAATCCGATTCCTTGAAGATGTATTGATATACTCCCCGATGCATTGATGTTTTTTGTAAAACATCGAAAGGATGATAAAACCATAATTTTACAAAAACTCAAATTTGAATGGAATACTATAATTTAAAAAGTAAAATAAATTTATTCACACACAAGATTACATACAATTAAAAAGACAACAAAAATACTGCAATGTGCTTCTGAAAAGGCATACACTCAGCATTTATCAAATTTCACCTAAAATCTATCAAAACGAGATTAAGTTAATTTCGATTTTGATTATTCTTAAACGTTAATTTGTGTTTATAATTTTTATTGTTTATTTATAATTAAAAAAAACATGAAAAATAAAATATTTAGGGTGATTATTTTGAAATTGTAATTCAAAAATTAGGAAAAAATCTATTAATAAAAAAATCGATTTTTTATGCAGAATGTCACATCCCTAGGCTGAACCCTTGTTCTCTTTCCCCCCCATTTTACCAGTTATTATACAGACTTTTATACACCTTAACCCTTTGGTAATAGACAAGTAGATGTTCAGGTTTCTATGACCACGCTACACATATTCGATATTTTAATTCTCTCAGGGTGAGATTCAGAGTAGAAGGCTTAAGAGTCTATCTGAATCCCACAAAGTTTTTGTATTTTATTGATGGATTAAACACATCTAAAAAGGCTTCTTAGGAGCCCTTCCTTCAATATTGTATCAAGCAAAAACTGTATAAAAGATATATTATAACTTTTAAATACACAAGAAAAAGTTAGCTTTATATCCAAAACTAGGTACAATAAAACAGCTTCAAACTAAGAATACTTTTATTTCTTATAAAAAATAGTGATTTCCTAATCATTTATAACAACCTCAAAATGTATCTTAATATCAAATTTTATCCACTATAATGATATAATTAATAAGATAATTGACAATGATGCTAATTTTGATTTAAGAATAATAATCCAATCAATAGTAAGTAAAATAAACGATTTCCTATACTTTTAACATAATCACTTCATAAAAATTCTATAATAACTCTTACAAACACAACTTAATAATAAGTATGAAAGTATTAACGGCTATCATACAAGCTAAATAAGTCTAATTGCACTTTAAAGTAAAGTACTCTTTCGTCTCTTTCTAACATATTGAGGTTTCTAAAAGAGATATATTATGATTTTAGTCAAAACTTTGCAATTAGACAATAGAAAATACTTGTATGAAAAACGCAGTTAATGTTTTCTCAAACAATTCTTGCTCAGACGTTTGTGTCAATAATAAAGGCAAATAAAATAACAGAAGAATAATATCTATATAATATCGAGCTTTTCCAAGGCACATTATTTTGTGGAAGACAACTTAAATTATAACTTATAAATACACAGTAATTCATAAGAAGCCGCGGCTCGTCACACGTATCTATCATATTTTACGGACTTTGTTAGGAAAACGATAACAAAAGTACAAATTAATAATAAATTGAATTGAAACAGGGTTTTTTCACTAAAATATTCTAGAAAGTAAGATATGATGACATGGATTTAAATTTACACGTAAATATCCATAATTTCCTAACAAGAGTCTACATTAAAATCAGATAATTCTATAATCAACAAAGACGCTTTATTAAGTATTTCCTGTAGCGAAAAAAGCCCCCATATACCATTAAAAACCTTTCATCACACACAGGGACTCCCAGTGTGGGGGCTAGCAATAGATGAATTTTGTCACAACCTATATCTGTCATGAATACAGTTTTTATTTATTTATTTATCATTTTATTTGTTTATATCGTGTTAATGCATAAAATTTATCTATACCCCAGGAAAAACTTGAAGTATAGTATTGTCTTTGATTGACATAACCTTTACACATTTAAAGAAAAAACTTTTTAACCGGATTAAAGTTATGTATTATTATAAATTTAAAATTATGTTAAATAATTGTAAATTTATAATAATACATAACTTTAGGAGCGTTCAAGTATTACGTCACAAATTTTTGGAGATTATTGACGACCACATCCCCCCCTTGACGCGGCGTAACGTTTCTGTACCCAAGTATAGTAAACGTTTCGTGACCACCTAGTGACTCTTTAAACCTAAAAGTTACCATTTAAGTGTAAAAGTACTGGAAAGTCGAAAATAATATTAACAATAACGACTTCATTCAACCCCCGCCCCGCATCGTAAAGCAAAGGACCCCCCCTCCCCCCAAAATTCGTAACGTAATACTTGAACGCTCCCTAATCCGGTTAAAAAGTTTTTTCTTTAACTTGAAATATAATATTTTTTTTAGCTATAACTATTTCACCGGCAAACGTAAACCTATACATAATATCTAAGGCACTGTTTTTCATAAAATGGAAGGTGTATGGAAGACAGTTCAAAATTATAAATTCTGCAATTATATCTTCTTTGCTTAACATTTACTGTAAAAGGAGTATAAAAATATTTTTATCCCTAGTATTAAACGCTAATTAAAAACTAGACATATCTACAATAATGGTCAAAAAGCTTAAATAATAAGCAAATTCAAATTATACATGTCAAACTGGGTTTGTTTACTGAATTCAGTAAATAATTTGGTTCTAGGCAATTATTTTTTAAGATAAAAATCATACCCAAGAACGTGTTTATACGAGGGGTGTTCAATAAATAGTGATAATGCGATACATTCTCCTTGGAAAGAAAAAAATAAATACTGGCACGCATAGCACAGAACACATCCTTTGTTTAAAAATAAAGTCATTTGTTCGCGTCGTGTCGGAACGTGTTCGTAATAATGGTTAAAATATATCTGCTTTACAACTACTACGGAGGTGGTAAATCAGGACTTGAGAGCAAAATTTGATGTCCTTGACATTTGCGTTGGTGTACTGAGTTCAAGCTAGAAAAAACTTCCATTACTGACGATCCCCTCACGGACCCCCTGCATCGGTAGTGACTGAACAAATGATTTAAAAAGTTGAACATTATCATGGCGGATTATGATGACTCTGTTTGTTGTATATCAGAAGAAATAAAGATTTCTCTTGGATGTGTCCATATTACGCAACCCAATTTAGGTATGGAACAGTGTCAGCTCGCAGGGTGCCCAGAAGGCATTCTGACGCACTGAAACAAACTAGGTGTTGTTTCAACAAAATCTGGACTATAGACCGCTCAATTAATAACTATAGACGAAACATGGCTTCACCATTGACTCGGAAACGAAAAAACAGTTCATAACTTGGAAGAGACCGTAATCTCCAACTCCGGAGAAACTAAAGGCGATTCCATCCACTGAAAAATAATGGGCTGTTATTTTTGGACAGCCAATAATGGAATACCTTAACCATGGATAACAAAGTCGCGAGAGGAAATACGCAAGCAACGGCAAGGGAAACTCGCTAACATTTTGTTTCACCAAGATTGAAAATAAAATAACATTTAATAAAATTTGGAAATGATCTTAATTACAAAATTTTTGTTGGTTGGATCCCAGTGACTGCAGAGAGGCCAGTGCAGTGTTGTATTGGAGAAAGATGGAGGAAGCCTACGTCCAGAAAAGAACCAAAAACACGGGCTGATGATAATGATAACTATGTCATACTCACTTTTTACTGAACACCCCAAGTACCAAACTTTCGCATTTATATATTTAATTAAATATCGTCGTGTTTAAAAAGGCATATTTCAACTGCGTTCATTCCTCAGTACATATGTCGTATTTTTCAGTAAACTTTTCCGCGATGATATTCAGCATATGCTCGAAAAATCCATCGCCAAATCGCAAACGATATAGAGAAACGTCCAAGTATCTTTGTACCTGTGTTGCGCAAAACAATGACGGCATACCCTTACAAATATCGCGCGATGCGTTACACAATAATAATGCCTGGCTCCATACGCGATTTGTTACTGAAATATTAAAGATCAAAATTTCACATGAAACATATTTTCCAATGCTTGTGTGGTTTTAGTGATAATTAAGTACGAAACTTTGTTATAGTTAAAACAAAACATCAACATTCACTGACATTCGTATATATTGTTTATTAATTTTTTGAGGTTAGTGACTACCTCCCCTAATACCCAATTGACGTTGATTTAAAGCCAGGGTCGTGGTTTCGATTTCACAGGAAAAATAATTGTGAGAATACTGATAAGGGAGCATTCAAGTATTATGTATCGAATTTGGGGGGGAGGGGGACAATTGACTTAGGCGTTATTGTTAATATTATTTTCGACTTTCCGGTACTTTATACAACAAAACGGTAACTTTTAGGTATAAAGAGTCGGTCCCGGTAGAATGCGACAGCGACCCCGGAGCCTCTGTAACGCGGCTTTGTCGGAACTACTCGAGGTGGTTTTAGTGGGTATTGCTCTCCCAGTCTCTGAATAGCAGATAGATTTTGGCGTGGGTCGAGTCCCACATACTCCTGTTCAGGGGATGCGCAAATGCATTTCCACCTCGGATATTAAAAAAAAAAAAAAGGTATAAAGAGTCACACAACACACACGAAACGTTTAATTATTGGGATTGGGATAACGTTACGGCGCGTTACATGGGGGGTCAAGAATCTCCAAAAATTGCGTGACATAATACTTGCTCCCTAAACTATAAATCATTAATACCTAAAACATTGTGTCTATATGATGTTTTAGAGTTATTCAATATGATATCCGAGACTTCGGGATGAGTAATATGTTACACATCTATAAGTAATCATTTCTATGGAATTTTTAAACATAAATTTTAATTAGGCAAAGATTTAAATAAGTTAATATATATTAACTTATTTCCTCTATACTTTTCTTTACTATTATTTAATATATTTACTATGAAATAAACTTATTTATATTTTTATTACAATACGTATTTTAAAAAATTTCCTTAAAATAAAATCACAATACAAAAACTATAAACTATTTATTTTTATTATACCTATACAAAAAAGTCACTACATTATTAATCTCTTCATTACCTTAACTAACTACTATTTATATTTATATATACTATACAACACTAAAATTAAACATTTCTTTTACCAAAATACAACAATTTATATGGGAAAAAAACATTAACTATATTATTCCAAATCTATTAAACTCGTTACCGGCTCGCTATTTGCTAATGTCTGTTACATTAATACACAAAACGATATCATTTAAATTAAAAAATTACTTTATAATCAAACAATTACAAATTATATAACTAAAAGTAGGACGTTCATTTATCCATTTAATATTAAATACGAATACACATCCTGTATTGAATAGAATTTCTCGTAAAAAGGTTTCTTGCATCGGCTTGGAGCGTATTGTTTCAATTGGTTTATTTGTTCGTGCAATTTTATGGTTTATTGTGGGGGTGTTATATTGTATATATGTCACTGCCTATTTAATAGTTAATTATTTAAATATTTCACATTAAAAATGTGTATTTGTGTTTCCACCCAATTTTTCTATTTAATCTTGTATAGAATAAATAAAATAAAAAATAAAAATAAAATAAAAAAAGCTTAAAAATACCACATAATGCTTCCACATACATAATTAGTATGAATGTAAGATAGTAAACAAAACCATAACATACTCACAAAATCTCTGCATATCCATATCGCAATTTTGTGTGAGTTGCGATAGTGCGTGCGCGCCCTCTATTGGCGGCAAAGTAGACCCACTCACAAGGAACGACCCGGGCACTGTTATATTCTCCAATACCTGATCTACTTCCGATTTCATATACTGAAAATCATAGTAATGTTCATACGAATTTGTGCTTTATAAATTTATCGCAAAATACTCCCTTTACAAAAAAGGGTGCGTATACTTATGTACGCGCGTAAGAAGTTATACTTCTTTGGCATTATTAAAAATAGTTTTTGATTGCATGCAAATAATTAATCACAATTAAATAATCAAAGACTGGAAAAGGAGTCATTATAGTCAATAAAGTTCAGTTTACATTTGAAAAATTAAATAAATAAATATTTATTATTATTCTCTTACATTAAGTGTAACATAAATTCTATTATTATTCGAATGCAACTTCCGTGGGCAACTTCATTCTGTTAATTTTGTGTCACGGTGCGCGCGCATCGTAAAATTTCACTCTCGTCAATTTTTCATAACGCGCCTAAAGAAGTATAACTTCAAAAATCGGTCTCTTTCTGTCAAAATATATTTATACTGTGACAGAAAGAGACAGATGCGTACTGAAGTTAAAACGGTATAATAAGACTTATTTAGTTTTCATAAAGAATGCTTGTACAGTGTTGGAATACATAATTTTCTTTATAGACTTGTCTTAAATGTATGTCAAACAAATTCATACAATGTATACATACTAATTTTCATAACCCTTGAGAATTATTTTCAAAATGATTTATATTTTATATGAATCAAATCTAATTTTTGTTACTAAAAAATATTATTATTCATAATCTATAGGCTAAAAAATAAGAATTTTCAGTCAGTTAAATTATCTTGTCCTAATTAAAAGATTTGGAAAATCAAATTTCAAAATGTTTTTACCTCTCCATCAGCATTTGGTTTTTTTCTTCAAATGCTCCTTCATAATATGTAATCTGTACTGAGTTGGTACATGCTGAAATTTATATATAAATTATTACATATTATATGAAATTGCTTGTTCAGTCTAATATATAACCAAGATCCTAAACCAATAAAAAAAAAGAATTGATAATTGGTAAGTTTCTTGGGGAAATTGTGGAATTCCCATTCCAAATCAATTATTTTTTCTTGCAAAATTTATTCTAGGACCTTTGTATAATGTTATCATGGGCGGGACAGACTAACTAACTGAGAGGTTAATTACTCAAAATATTGATTAACCATTCAAATTATATTGATATGTTATATATAAAGATTAAGTCAGGCCGCACACCAGGCATACATTTGTTATTTACGTCGCCACAATCGTTGCGAAGTCGTTGCGCTACAATTGTATGCGCTACAAATGTATTGAAAATGCGCACATCGGTAGCACAGACCACAGTTGTAGCGTGGCACCGCTTTGAGAAGGTCGACATCATCGTCTTATGACATAGATTTCTTGATGTGGCGATTAATGAGAAAAAAAAGACGTTATTGGCTTCATCCGTTTAATCAAGATTGAACAAAGTACGGGAATTTTTCGCCAATCTTAGTCCAAATTATTTCTGTAATCCGTGTTACTATAATCATTGAGCGTGTGATTGTATAAAACAGGGTTTTTTTCAACCTCTGCAATAAACTCAACGTAAAATTCAATGTTGTCCTTAATTTTTGCAAACCAACGCGACACAAAAAACGAACGTTCGATCTTGAATTTGTGTGGCGCGGAAACTGTCTCGCTACAAAGTGCGCCCGCCACAAATGTTTCCTCGGTGTGCGTGCTCACGTACAAATGTATGGGGGCGTTAAATGTGTCGCGTTTTAAATGTGGCGCTACAATTATCGAGTTACAAATGTATGCCTGGTGTGCGGCCTGACTCTAATTCCCTTACAAACTTTAAATAGTATTTTATTTAGAGGATTTTCTCTTAACTCAAACATGTAAATCCAAATGCATTTCTTGTGATAAATATTTTTTTTTATAAATACCTTTGTATCAGCAACCATAAGTATGGGATGGATATGTGGTTGATCTGTTGTATCAGGCGAGAGTCGGTTAAGGCATTCCGGGTACATCTCTGTCAGTATAACACTGTCTTGACCTCCCAATTTGCTTACTGCTATTTCAGCTGCTGCCATTTCATCCAACTTGTCATAAATTAGTGTAGCGACACGTGGTTTTACATCTATATATGATGAAAAATATACACATAAAGATCCAAGAACTTTCAAGATGAGTCTTACTATTGATCATATTACATCAAAATCAATATGCACACCACATGGTCTAATAATAAATAATCGCTAACTATAAAATGTATTAATAGAACTCTGAATAGAATCGGGCAGACACATTTTCGACTTTGATCCATTGTCCGTTTTTAATAATATATTAAATTATTATTCCATGTGCCATACTCCAATCTTTGTAACCAAGCACTATGCCTTAGAGGGGTTTGTTGGCTAGCACTACAAGTGTAGAAACCTGTTTCATTTATAAATATAGAACTTACCAAAATTGTTCTGTGTATGCATGTAAATATAAAAAATAAATAAAAAATCTTTCATAAATTTACAAAACAATTTTTACACATACATAATTAAAACTATAGATAGATTGTCATTCGTGTAGTTAAAATAATTATACCAAAATATTCAGCAGCAACATTAATATCGGCATCTTCACACCACGCTAATATCATTTGCAGTGCTTGAACGATGGAGCACTGAAGTTTGAAAAAAAATGAGCCTGATCGGATAGGTTGACGCTTCTTACATGTTTTGCAAATCCATTGTACCCTAAAATACAAAATTATTTATATTCTTGAAGTTCTTTTATGGATTTTGAGGTATGTTAGTTTATAGGATAATACAGCATTTACTTAGATCAGTTGCACTTTTTCATATAGTGTAGTTTTAAATTAAGTCTAGTGTATAGAAGTACTTTCCTAGAAGTACTATTAAGTCTTTGTTCTTAAAGACTGACCATTGTAATATCATTATCTGACTATTTACTATTAGATTAAAGGTTTCCATGGTAAAGTCATGGTTAAGTTTTCCTAGACTTGGACCAAATAAGGTACTATCGTGGATAGTTAGGATTGGTACCTTTAACTTATGGAAATATGTAAATACACCACAATAAAATATAATATACAAAATAAAGCACCTTATATATAACCTTATGTAAAAGATTTTTAATATGCCCAGTAGCTTTTGAGATTGTTATTTAATGCTACTGTATAAATAACAATCTTACCTATCAACAACCCTTGCTGTCTTACAAACAACTTCACAAGTAGGTTCATTTTGCACACATTCCATCACCATTGGAAGCAAACCAAACGCCTGGAGCCTTTCAACAATTTGCATTTCCACTAGGCCTTGTCCAGAATCCTTTACTAAATCCTTATATAAAGATATGTTGCTGTAATTAAAATGTTATCATTTTGAAAGTTCCTTCTCTGATTCGTGCTACATTAAAACAAAAATGACATTTTCTTGCTAGTTTTTTTATGCAGATGAAATATGGAATATATGTTAAATTCTGTAAAAAACATACCAGGTCCCTGTAATGAAAGGAAAGGTTTCATTCTTAGAATTTTCTGTATCATATGTAGTAGAATCTGGTTCCATTTTGGTTTCTTATTATGTTATTTCATATTAAAGATATTCTGAAATAGATAATACAAATATTGGATAGACTTAAAAAATATTGTTTTAAAAACCGTCTTATTACTGAATAGTGAATGGAGCAAAAACAAGTGTCGGGTTGTCATTGTTTATTAATTAGTAGAATTATTTAATTTGGTAGCAATAACTTAAATGTAGTTTTTAATAACACAAATAAATTAAAAACAATGCACTGTGACACAGGACAAATAAACCATCTTATTTGTGATTTATACTTAAGTTTTCCTTCTTTAACAAAAATTAGGATGATAATTTGATAGATACATACACAACGGCTGTCGAAACATATTTTACAATTAAATAACAATTTTAATCACTAGTTTATTATGAGTAAATTGTGTTTTTTTTTTGTTTGACGATTTTTGACAATTCGTTTGGTTTTTGGTTTCAATTAGGATTTCATCAATCGAGCTCAAACGAATGTTTTCTGCATAGAGTATAGTAATATATGGTTTTCTGTGGCTATAGCACAGACTTAAGTTAAATCACAATAACAACAATAGTTTACAATAATAATTGTAATATTATAAATTATAATCAGCAGCAGGTGAAAATGTTTATCAAGAACGCATACTTTTTTGTGTCATGTTCAAGCAACAGTAACGATCAACAAAGAAAACAGAAAAGACACAGAAGAGTTCCTATTAAATCACTAAAAATTTATGATTTGACAAGCTATTTTTTAAAGCATATTTTTTTATGTCTTAAATTTTGTAAGGTTATCGAGGTCGTTTACAAAATATTTGAATTGGATTAATTAAAAATTCGAACAAATTCTTTTAACCATACATGACTTAAATATTGCGAGCGAGTAAAATTTTTGTCTTTACAATAATTAAAGTGTTATATGCTTTTATGAATATATTTAAAAGGATTAAGGCTATAATGATGTGTTAATCACGACTGATAGATAGAGATAGATTGGGTTACATGGGTGAGATTTAGAAACGAATCTTACGCGAACAATGACAACTGTAAGTCCAAATCTAATATAATTTTGACGTACGGGAGTAAGAATTCACTTCTCTCGATTTAAGAAATCGATGTGTTTCGATTCGATTTTACCGTAACGTCTCTTACGAGTTTCATCATGTTCTGTGCCTGGCACCTGCAAAAACAAACGGAACAGTTAAGTGTTCAGTTAACAAATCAATTAATTTTTAACGAATAGTCAATATTAGTGCGTGTATGCAATTGCGTGTGTATTGTTTTGGAGTCTATTTTTTTAAATAATTTTGACTGTGTTTGTATTGCAGTTGTGTGGACATTATTTCAAAATATTGGTAAAAAATTATAGACAGTTTAGACATAACGTTACAGTTCAGTTATTAAACGCGTGTTAATTAAATCTCCAGAAAAGAAAATATATTTATGTGTAAGGTAAGATTCTATTTACTATTTAACTGTTAATTTATCGTAAAGTAAGTCGTGCTTTATTGAGGTAAATTACTAATTTACTTTTGAAACAAATTTATTACTCTATATGTCGTCCTCAGTAACTACTCAAGGGCTTAACCCTATTTTGAATGAAAGTCCATCTTATACGTAAAAGCGAAAGTTCCATAATTCTAAATATGTATCGTACATTGTATATAAATGTTATATATTTATCAAATAGCAAATATTAACTTAAATGATAACATTTAATTAATAAAGAAGTTTCTTACTAATTTCAATGTTAGCAATTCCATAACCATTCCATAGTAAACTTATTTAGTAATTTGCGTAAATTATTATAAGTTCTTAAATTAAATCAATAAAAGTGTCGAGAATTATCTCTGTTTACTAAAGTGCACCCAGACTATGTATGTTTAACTGTTAATTTTCTGAAGGTAGTACATATTTATTTATTTAAACTGAAAGACCCTTTAATTAAAAAAAAAATACCTTAACTCTAAACATTATCCAGTACTTGTAACCACTAACTTATGGGTGTGGTCAAAATTACAAGGTAAATTTAAAAAAATGATATTTGCGAGGCTTGTATGCATCTATATTTTGCTGCATTATGTTAAAAATGCTTTAGAATAATGAAAGCCCTTACATTTTTTTAGCATATGATATGAAAATCAGTAATCAATATAACAGCACATAAATGACAAATACACAGTAAATGTGTATGTAATGGTACTACTAATAATGTATAAACATTACTACTACTATTGGATTAGATTAGAACTCAATGTTAATGATCACTTTTAGAATAATAATATGTTTTGACCTTTGTTAGGTCCTACTTTTGTAAGAAACATATGTTTAGTGAGCTTTAGAGCCAATAGAATTTTTGGAATGTCAAAACATATATGAAGATTATAAAAAGCAATTACTTTACATTTCAAATTGTAGGTCGCCAGGATCATAACTTCTTAATCGCTAATAAAAGGGGTCTTTACATTTATTCTAATATCTTTTACATATTTATACCACACTTTAAAAGTACAACTGTTGGTAGTATGTATAACCAATTTAGTACCAAAATTCATCACGTTTTCTATAGAATTACCATAAGTTTAATTGTACTGATATTTTCCAGATTGACATAATTTTATACAAATAAATAAAACTGTCCAATGTTCTGTTATAGCAAATCAAGTTTTAGGTCACTTTTCAATGTTTTCCTAACTTTCTCCTCTATTGTTCTTTGACGTCTCCTTTCGACGCGTAGGCGGCTATTTATTACCTACTGTATACGGTCTTATGGGACAATAATGACAATTGACTTATTAAGTCAAACAAACTAAATTTCATATAATATTTATATTAATTATTGGACACGAATTAAGTCATTTTATTCAATATTCCTTAGGTTCAAGTTTCGACATAATTGTTCAGTGTCATCAGATGCGCTGAAGTTTTTAAGTTTTACTAAAAGCTCGAATCACCACGGATAATTTGGTCATGTACGACTTAAACGTAATAAATTAATGATTCACAAGTATAAGATTCTCATTATAATACCGCCCACAGTTCATTCTCGATCCGAATATTGCAATTGTTTTTCGAAGTAGTATGAATACTCTAATTGTTTCTTGTGTAAGAATATTTCACCAGACGGAGAACGAACTGTGAAGGGCGTTATAGTGTAACTGATACATCATCGTCAGATTAATCTTTATATTTACAACTCGTAATATATTATATATAAGGGAGTTAAACTCAAATGTGCTGCAAAAATATTTATTTTAAGAAACAACATTTAGAGTTTGCTATTTCAGTAGTACTTTTATCCTATTTCTTTTATAATCAATTAAAAATGTACTCGTAACAAACACTTCATATTCAAATTAAAAATGACACATACATAGAAAAACAAAACTAAATGAACATTTATAAAAACAAAATAGATAATTAATAATCTAATTTAAGAAATATAATTATTTCTTTACATATATAATGACAATTATTATTTCTGATAAATGAATGGTCGACAAACCTTGAAATCTATGAACCGTAATAAGATAATTTTATAATTTAAAAACATATGGCTAGAAATTAAACTCTAATAAGGAAGTGCATACCTCGTAACGAGGGTCGTGATAATTAAAAATAGCTCAGTCGTTATTAAAAATCATAAAAATCCTTATATGGGACTGTCATAGGAACACATTAACCTTATAATGGCCTTTCTCAGCCTTACGGCATATAACCTTTTAGGTATATTTTATAAGTTCATACGATCTATTGTGCTGGTGACATTATTCTTATAACAAAACACGCCTTCAGTGTTTATTGTTCGCCTGGAATGTTGAAAGGTAATCTGATATAACTTTTCTTGTTGAACTTCGTATATATCTATGCTAAAACATAACGGAAACTTATACAATGATAGTAAACTCTATAATATAGACAAAATATAAAGATTTTATCTTAATAAAATTCTATATATTCTAAGCTTTACAATTTTTACATAAATTTTGAGTAAAATCCATGAGGCAAAAGGTACATTTAATGTAATTTCCGCGTCGTGTATTGTATGAATTGTTAATCATAAAGTGATTGCATTTGCATATAGAAAAAGTGGTACACGTTCGTCGCACTTTATTGGTCGTCAATTATTTCATTTGAATCCAGTTTAATCGATTGACGATAAATCATGGCAATTTTATTGTCATGTTGTTAATCTGTATTGATTAATTTGACAAATAAATTGCCCCACAGATAGTGCAATATTTTAAGTTTTATTGTGATATGAAACATTTCACGTTTTGTAAATCACGCATACCTATCACGTAAATAGTGATATTCCAAATTTGAATTACCAAAGTTCCCGCAGTAAGCAAATTCTACAGTGTTCTAAATTTGAATTGAAAGTCCAACTGCAGAAAATTAAGTTTCCGTCTAATTGGTAGGAAACCTGAAACAAAACTTTTATAAGTGGCCGAGCTTATGTATTGTATATAAATGAACTTACACATAAAAGCGAAACCTTCATTTTGATATAGGTTAAAAGAGATCAGTCAATTGCAAGCAGAATAATAAAACAAACCACTTTCCTTTGCTAAATATTCAGCTTTCGCGATGGAGGTAAGTATACGAAAACTTAGCGATTGTTCTCGTATACGATTGCGATATCGATGTTGCAATAAATGGAATAAAGACTGAATAGTGTATGTTAAGGAATTCGTGTATTGTTCATACTTTGTCAGTATTACTAGACAAAACGCAAAGCAAATCTAAGTTTCGCGTCAGGAGGTCACACAATAAAATTTAGCATTCATTTAAAAATAATCTAGAATAATGTTCGCGCAAATGAATTATCATCAATTTGAGTTAGAATTATATACGTAAGTACAATTAAACATTGTTTTGTCTTCTCGTTTAATTAAAGAAGGAAATGGATCGCCTAATTAAACGATTTGCACTGCGAAATTATATTCCACAGGTCAATTTGTTTTTTAATAAATTGTCTCTGCACAAAGACATCTAACATAAGAAAGTGTCCA